CAAACTTCCAGGGGGTGAAACCTCCAGTTACCTTCTGTTTTCAAGGATCGGATAGCGTTTGAAAACACATTCAAGGTTTTTACTGCCCTCCTCAGTTCGACCTTGAGACAGTTTCTTTTGGTTTCAAAAAGAAAAAATATTTAAAAATGTTAGTTCATAAACATTCCAAAGATCACTTTCAAATTGTTATAGAACCCTCTATATGACTATTCTGACTAGCCTGCGTGCAGCCGAACGAAAACCCCGGTTTTATTCGTCTGCGAATCAGCGACAAATATCTTGTTCTGACGTAGGGAGATCAGTACTTCGTTCTGCATTTTGATTGGATGCTTCTAACGAGCACTCTCATTGGCTTACAAAATTGCCTCGTTTCAGGTCTTTCGAACACAAAGAAAATGGCGTCTGTCGAAGAAAGTGTTTGGAGAGAAGCCTTCTCCCAAGTTCTCTCTCAATTCGGAATTATCGACTTGTTACCCGAACAAAAAAAAGCAATACGATCATTTTTAGCGGGATCTCATGTATTTGTTAATCTTCCGATGGGCTTTGGCAAGTCACTTATATTCCCATGCCTTCCCATCGTGTCAGACGTGATAAACTCCAAGCTGCGAGCTTCGAGTTTGATTGTAGTTGTTTCTCCCCTAAAATCGCTCATGAAAGATCAAGTAACCAGTTTGTCGAATCTAGGGATTCCAGCAATAATGATCGGAGAAGAACACAACGACCCAGAAGTAATTCCACAAGTCAAAAACGGAAACTATATGGTCGTGTATATATCTCCAGAGTGTTTGTTGTCGACTTCGACTTGGAGAGGGATATTTGAAGACGATGGTTTCCGTGAAAGGCTGATTGGAATCGCTGTAATATTCTTCGAACAAACTATACATACGCGTTCCATTAAAACATTCGAGCGCTCGTGCTAAGACTTGCCCGGGAAAACAAACATGGCATATGAGGCAACCTGGTGCGAGTGATTTTCAGCCAATGAGCGCCCTCGTAAGGAACAACCAATCGAAACGAAGTACTCGAATCTCGGTACTCCAGAACAAGATATTTGTCGCTGATTCGCAGACGAAGACGGGGTTTTCGTTCGGCTGCACGCAGGCTAATTCTGACGGGCATGAAATAAACGAGGAGTATATTTTTGGTTTGCGTGAAAGATGTAGTTGTACGCCTGGGATAGAGTGTTGAAAAATTCATTTTGAAATTCATGTGTCTGGGGTGTGAAACTGGAAAAAAAAAACCCTGGATCCTTCGATCGTAAGGGGTTCCAACACTCGCCTTCTGTATGTTGATCAAGTGCTCCACAAAGAATACTTTACAGGCCAGGGAGATTCGAATCAACAAATGACACTGCTAGGATCCTTGATATCTATAGCACTCCTTGTATAAATCAGAACTACAAAGATTTAGCTTTAACTTCTGATGAACAGAAAGGTAGGTAATTGATCAAGATGGAGCAAAAATGAGATTTCACGCTGTGTTGTTACACTGTTGTTTACCTTATGTTTGGTTTAATTTGCTATAGTTTTTGTAATGTACTAACTATGTTGATGACCTAGGGGCCATGGCTTACCGCGGTGATCTCCTCGCCTGTGAAGTTGATTTTAATGGAGTCTTCGAAGACAAAAAAATTTCGGTGTCGTTCTTCTTAAACGGTAGAGAAGTAAATAGTTCTTCAATGAAGTATACCTCTGGAAAACAACTATTTCCCCTCGTGGCATTGGGATTTAAAGGCATTACTGTGCTCACAAAGGTATGTTCGAAAGGAGGGAGCGGCGGGAGTAGTGATGGGCTATTAATCTATGAATTAAAGCTATGGTTTAACTTCATTAGTGACATGCTAAGAAATTAAACCTCGGCGCGCCCTTCCAGTTACAAGGGATTGTTACTGCGGCCAAATTATAAATATGTGGCGAGGGAGCTTTCTCTGTGGCTCGAAGGAGAAACTTTGTCGTTTCCAGTGTTGAAAAGACCACTAAATTGGAAAATTAAGCGAGACCTACCTGTAAGTTGAAGTTTGATTGAGATTCTATCACATGACATCGGAAGGCGAGAGATCACATGAGATAGCACGGCGCTTGAGCAAGTCATAATTAAAAGCCACGTATAGGGTGCATCTAAAAAAGGATGCCGGCTGAAAAGACCAAAAGTAAGAAGTGACCGGCAACCAAATTGCCCAAGAGAGGGTGGGTGTTGAAAGTGGAGGGCATGTGGTCTCTCGCCTTCTGATGTCATGTGATAGAATCTCAATCAAACTTCAACTTACAGGCAAGTGTCGTTTAATTTTCCTATTCTATCACATGACCGGAAGGCAGAGATCCCATGAGACTTTAAAGCGTAGATGCACCCATACGACATACACTCAAACAAGAGGCACGAAATCCACACAAAGGTAAGGGGTGGAGCATAAACAATGATAACCATGTTTGTAATGTAGTCTAACAGTAACAAAATAAGAAAAACAGCCCATGCAATATTCCAAAAACGTATCGGAGTTTTCACTTGTCAAGAATAGCAGAAGCAAGGCTGTTATCTGGGAAAACCGGTTTGTTGTAATATTTACGGAAGGTCTCTGCAGACTTCCAGCCTGCCTTCGCCAAGTTTCGTGGACAGGGACGTCTTTCATTAGCTTTGGAAACAGACGCCGACCAAGTGCTATGTGCCGTGAACACCTTATTATCAATACCGGAAAGTCTAAGAGTTTCCTTAGTCCACCTAGAAATCGTGTCCCTAGTTACAAGTTTATGGGGCCTAACATAACTAATAAACAGTTTTGTTTCGGTTTTACGCAAAACCTTCGTCTTTTTTATGTATGCTTTCAAACAAGTCAAAGGGCAAATTCTACTGTCTGGCTCATAGGCAGCAATGTCAATCTTCGTATGTGGCCTTCTGGGGGGGTGCTGGTCTTCATGCGCTCAACGACGTCAAAGGAGTAAGTATCCTCCATACTAAGATGCTGTAGATTTAGGTAGTGTATCTATTGCCCTCGTTGACTCGAAAATAATAGAATTAACATAAGGACCTTGTGCGTTAAATCCTTTAAAGACAATGTTTCATTAGGGTGTAAAGAAGATAAATATTTCAAAACCACTGAGACATCCCAAATTTTGTCATATTTAGGTCTGGGTCTACGCGATTCAAATACCCCTTTCATAAACCGTGTAACAATATGGTTGCTACCAAAGCTTCCCTCGCTGTCTATCGTAACAGTGGTAGATAAGACAGAGCGAGCAGTATTAAGGGTCGAGTAGCCAAGCCCTTGATTAAATAGCCCCAAGAGAAATTGAAGGGCGTCGCTCAGCGGTGGTGAACAACAATAAATTTGCCGTTCAGGACAAAACGCCATCCATTTTTTAACGTAAGAGGCATACTGTTTTTTAGTGCCTTTCCTCCAGGATTCCATGAGAATGTCGGTAACCTCCTCTTAAAAGTGGTAATGGCTGAAGGATCCCCTGAAAGAGGACATACCATCAGATGAAGATTCCTGTGTAGTGGATGTGGGCCACTGCGGGAGGGGTGTTGTAGAAGGTCTGGCCGTGGGAGCAGGATCCAGGGCTGGTCGCACAAATGTGCTACCAGGACTGGAAACGACGTTTGAGTTGGCCAAAGCGGCGCGATTAGTACACCCTGTGCTCGGTCTTGACTGATCTTCAGAGGGCATATGGGGAGAAGGCTAAAGGGTGGAAAAGCATAAAAGTTTTTTCCCTTCCAACTCATAGTAAATGCGTCTACGTGTGAACTGTTAGGGTCTGCTTGCCACGAGCAGTAACTACTGATCTGACAGTTTAAGCGGCTCGCGAACAAGTCGAAGTCGAGGCCGGGGTTGTGCAACAGGATCTCGTCAAACGAGTGTTTGTTTAGCATCCACTCGTGATTATCTGAGAACACGCGTGATTTCTCATCAGCCCCAGTGTTTAACCGACCGGTTATGTACACAGCTGAGAGCCAGATATTCCGGGGTATACACCATTCCCAAATTTGAACAGCTAGCTGGTTAAGTTCTTTGGAGTTTGAGCCTCCCATGTTGTTTATATAAGCGAGGGCTGTGGCATTGTCGATCTGAATTTGGATGTGGCAGTTGTTCATATGGCTACAAAAACACTTTAACGCAAAAAAGGCTGCAAGTAATTCCAATACGTTTATGTTATTCGGCTTCCGAAGGGGTCCATCTCACCCCCGTTTTCTGAGTGCCTAGAACAGTTCCCCAGCCCAGTGTGGATGCGTCTGACTGAATTGAAGTGCTGGGTTTGTCGTGTTGGATATCTCGTTTGAGAGTTAGGGCATTATCACGCCACCACTGAATTTCTGTTAAAGCGGGAGGGGATAACTGCATTTTTCCCCCGTAATCGCCCTTATTTGCTGTGAGTGTGAGATATTTATCCCGCTCAAGGTAGCGATAGTGAAGTGGTCCATACTAAGCACCAGGAAAATTGGACGCCAGAATACCGATAACCTCTGCGACCTGTCTAATTGTGAGCATTTGTGTTTTTAAGAGTATACCGCAGACAGACAGGATCCGTTAAACTTTTCCCCCCGTAAGTGTAACTGTCATAGTAATAGGATCCAGTACAAACCCTAAGAAAATTAATTTCTGAGAGGGTATGAAAACCGATTTCTCGGGATGGATATGGAACCCTAATTTGGTAAACAAAGTGATGGTGTCAATGACGTTTTGAAGACATTCCGCGGAGGTGTCGCCTTGTAGATAAGAATCGTCAATATACCCTGAATTGCGATGTCCCATGCTCCGGAGTGTGGCATAAACAGGTTTCAATAGTTTACTAAGTATGCGCGGGGCACTAGGTAGGCCATTAGGCAAACAGGTACATTGGTAGAAAACACCGTCAAAACAGAACTTTAAATATTTCTGATGAGATGGGTGGATAGGCACGGTATAATTCGCGCCCTTCAAGTCTACCGAAGCCATAAAACAACCTGGTCTCATCATAGTCTTTATGCATCTCTTTCTTCATGGCCGGGCGTCGGGAGTGATTCAGCTCGTAGTTGTATTGGAGTGCCATTGCAACAGCATCTTTCAACAAGGTGATCAGTTCCTTGTCTCGGCTGCATTTTTCCAGCGCCAAATTGGCGGATTTTGCCATGGCTGTAATGGCTCCGATAAGGGTGTTTTGTCCCTTCTGCGATCTTACATGCTGAGCTTTAATTGTAGTCGACAGCTGGCTCCAGATTGAGGGGTTCACTTTCGGGGTTCGCAAACCCTGGACATTCTCTGGGCGAGGATATTTGTCCAGTTTGGCTTTGAGCTTCTCGTCCCCCATCTTTTCTGATAAAAGAGTATTAAAAATAGCACCCAGTCCTTCGCGAAGGGGCGGAGAAGTCTTCTCTCTCACTGTTAAGTCTTGCGCGAGTTCCTTCAAGAGGTCTTCGCCCGGCGTAGCCTCGTTATTGTCATATTTGCCCGCAGAGGCGAGGAGCGCGGATAAATCTGCGTCCATATCCATATATTTGGCGGGCCCGTCATTAGAGGCGGTTTCACCGTCCTCATCGGAGTCCTTGTGCCCTTTCAGGAGCACTGAGCTCACTTTCTCGTTCAAGCTCCTCAGCCGGCTCAGAACTGGAACCAGGGCAGATTTGAACATATCTGCTAAAAAGATGGCTGAAGGCATACTCTGGGCGTCACTGTCCGTTGACATTTCAGGGACGCACTCGTCAGTTGTGTGGCCCTCGTGATCGGACACAATCACACTAAATTATTGGCACCCAACTAAGTTAGGGCCTAAGCTGGACTCTGATTAAGGCTAACTGCGTTAACCTCTTCAGCAGCTCTTGTCAAAATAAGGTTTTTTAGCGTAGAAAAACCAAGCTCCAAGAATTTGTATGACTTACCGCGTTAAGCGCAAATCGTGCAAATGACTTGCTCAAGCGCCGTGCTATCTCCTGGGATCTCTGCGTTCCGGTCATGTGATAGAACCTAGTTCCAATCTGTGAATCTTCAAGTGTTTGCGAATGTTCACGAAACCATTTGCCCTGTTCGACGAAAATTGTTTTAGTTATGCAGACGCCTGTGCCCTGATTAATCATGCGGTATGACTGGGCTAAGATTATGTAAATCTCGCTATGATCATCACCGTCGGTTCTTTTTTTTTTTCATTTAAATTTTACCAATATTCCCTTTTTAAAAATGACACGTACGACTTCTGTACGTTTTAGATGTGCCATCGTGACAGAGACTGTTTCAGTAGAGTAACAAATGAAGACCTTCAGGAACAGCTTGACGAGCAAAGGAGGATCATGTCAGAACTGAGAAATTTAGCACTGCGTTTGGAGAAAAAAGAAGAACCGTTTGACCGTAAATTGAATTAAGTCCTTGTTTCGTTTTGCAAATAGGCGTTGCTTTTTGGTGACAGATACATTTGATTACAAGACTCGTGATTGACATTAATTCAATACAGTGATTTAATAATGTTAGTTTATCATATTTTACACCAGTTTTCAGAAGAATCAGGAAGAGAGAACTTTTTTTTATAGTCTGTTCGCTTATTTGAATCTGCTAACTTTAAGAGAGAAACCTGTTTTTACGACCCGCCACAGAAGTATTTCTAATTACGTTTTTTGATACGAGATTAAGACTTTATTTACGTTTTTCTGATTTCGAATTACAAATGTATTTCTCTTAAATCGATTAATTATTAAAGCTTGGATTAATATTATACGGTTTTGTGCTGGTGGTCTCAGCTGACCAGTTCCGAGTAAGGAAACAGTCATCAAGTGAAAAGGTAAATGCACGGTGCTTTGATGGAACAGGGGGGTGATCACTTAGAGCCATGAGCATTGAATAGAGGGAGCAAAATAAAGAAGATTTTTGAAATAATCTCAGTAATTTTACAAGTAAATATTTGTAGCTATATATCTATAGCTCTGATGAACGGCTAACGCTCGAAGCGCGAGCTTATAAAGTAAATAAATAAAAATGTAGTTTACTTACCTATAAACAATATAGAAGGTATTGAAACCACGCATTGTGATTTATAAGTTACTTATCTTTATATAACTCTCCGACTTTAAATATCTGGTCAATAACTCTCCTCTTCAGTTACTATACAGGTCTTGCAAATTATTTGGGAGAATGAAGTGTTCAATCAAGATTTCACTTTTATTATGAGCTAATCTACTGATTTGTTGTAAAACGCTTTGAAATTGTGAAAAGAAAAGTTTTAATGTTAATATAGTTATATTAAATGTTTTTCTTCGTTTAGGTGTCAGTATTTTAGATGAAACAGATCGCATTCATATCAGTTTTCGTGAATTACGAATACTCTGCCTCCTAACCATAAATTGTCTTAAGTTTGATTAAGAATTCACACTTCTTTCTCAGTGTGTGCGATTATTCAAACGATGCGTGAGTGTAAAGTCAATATTTTTGATAAGCGATAGTTTACAGTTGGTTTTATACAAGTTTTGTGCTACAGTCAAATTCCTTTAAAGTGTGCTCACTCGGGAAATTTTTGAATAAAAGAAAGGCCAAGAGAGAGGTATTTGTCTCGATTGTTGAACAAGCCCATGTCGTATCCTTTACGCATATTTCTAGTAGTAATAGGAAATACAGCCAATCAGATAAGAGGATGACACAATGCTCAAATCTGATTGGCTGTCTTCCATAGTGCCCCCTATCACTGCTTTCTTTTTTTATATTTCCCGGAAACTGAAAGTTGGGGGGCCATCTTTATGCCGTTCCATTAGGTCTTCGACCTCGTGAGTTACATATTAACGAATTGTCAACTTCCTAGTGTATAAATGGAAATTAAATGTTGTTAATTACGTAGAATTGTGTTCAATCAATCTTGCCCAGCGGTTGAATTGAAAAGGTCGTGATCAGCTAAAAGATTTCAAACTATATGGACAATGTCAAAAGACTTGTACAAGGAATTATCAAAGAGTGCGAAAATACTTTGATTCCCTTGATTCAGTGACCAAGATTGGTGGGTCTCCATACCACTGTTCCTCAGGTGGTAAAATGAAAAAGTGGGGAAGCAAGAAGACACGTTAACCTCCTCCCCCTTTTTTTTTTTTTTCGCTAGACGCACGGCAGCATAGAATCTATGTGGTCAAATGGTGCGATTCAATGCCGCAACTTACATCGTCACGCACTCTATAAGGGAGTCAAACTAATTTGAAGGGCGCTGAATAGCCTTAGAAATGTGTCATCGTCGTTCTCTTGCTATTGTTTTCGAAGGGAAGACTTAACATGTCAAAACCTGATAAGCCCCCAAGCATTGACTGCATGGAATCACGTGACAGATACCCCGGAGTGGTGGGACCACATGACGCTCATTGAACCCACGCAAACTGACAAAAAGAAACAAACAAGTTAACATCCCTAGGCCTGTTGCCTGGTACATGTGGCTTTCTCTAAAACAGAAACAAAAAACATGTGTGATAATCAGTACTGGAATGTGTTGTAATTTAATTGAAAAGGGCAGCATGCGGAGAGCCAATCACTGACGAGCTTTGCGCGTAATGGTTAGATGTCCTTGATCTGTTGCGTTCACCTCGTTCAAATTCAGTCTAGTTTGACTCTTTAGTTGGCAAATGAAAAGGGTAACCGTTCTCGGATTCGTATTGAAAGCGTTGAGAGAGTTTTTCAACCTCTCTCTGCATTATCTACAAAAAATAAATAATTCAAGAGTTTTATCGATGAAATATGGTGATTTCTGACCAGACTTAAAAAAGCTACGTTTCAGCCTCAACCTTTTGCCACCTGACATTAGCAATGATGCATATGCCGTAGTGTTTTCTATGCATTTTCTCTGGTACTGATAGGAGAATGTGCTCAAAAATCAGGGTCTTCTTAACCTGATGATAATTTCCCTCTTCCTCATCACTTTATTGTTTGATTCAGGGATAGGGTAAGAGGAAATAGGTGCTACGGATAAAATGGACGATTCGATTGAGACTTTGAACCTCTTGTATTTCTTTTTTATTCCAAGCTTTCGCCGATCCGTGGAATCGTCAGTATGATACAGTTTGGCTACCTGGATGGCGCGAAGATGGTGAAAACGAGTTGTCGATCGTCTTCTTAGTGATCTTTCAAGTATTTTTCAACCTCAACTCTTTTTTTTGGGAAAAACGCATCTTGTCCCTGATCTCCCTTACCACTCGCAAGCCAAAGATCTCTGTCCAGAGGGCCTAAATGATTTAAAATGGCGGCCAGGAAGCTATAAAGGAAAAAATGATTTGATCCCGTAACACTTTGACTCCTGAGCAGTAGAAGCATTTTAATGTGTGTTCCTGTGTGTATGCGCTCAGTATTGCACGGTGGGTAGTTGACCAGTTCAAAACTCCGAAAAATTTTTTTTTCCGGTTGCATTGTTTGTAATATGACGACCCAAATCGACTCGACTGTGCTCCCCAAATATCTGTCGGATAATTCTGTTACCAGATTTTTCAGAAAGAAAATCGGTCTCCCACGAGTTGTCGATCTCTGGATCTTATGGATTGATCTTGCTGAAGTGCTAAAAATCTTTTGCGCTTTCCAAAGTTTGAGATCGTTGACGATCACAAAGGAAAAGAATAACCAGATGCAAAAGTGTCATTGTAATGATCACTTAGTCGAATAAGAATTTGTTTCAAGTGAATCTTTAGTAATGATCGTCTAGATTTTTTTCCCTTTTATTATCATTCAGGCTGGACACTTTATCTGTTACGTTGTTCCGTTTCTCATGGTCACGCAGTCGATTTGATCATTCAGAAATCATTCTGGTGTATAAACAAACCGATTCTTTGCACAATAGTATCCAATTTGGGCCGGAAAGGTAACTGTTTGCCCAGAAGGTTGATGGCCCTCAGACCATTGAGGAAACCGAGAAGCCCCTGGTAACAACGTCGAGGGATCGGAGAGAAGATTGGGATCAACCAAGTCGGTGATGAGCATGGTTGAGGAAAACAACACTATCTTTTGGCACAAAAGTGTGAGGGAAAACAACACTTGGCTTTAGAATCTTATCTACCGTTATATGGTTCTTGTCTCTTCCTAAACGCAAGAATGGCGAATGTTAATGTCAACGCACACAACGCTGTACTCAGAAATATCTGAAAGGCTAGATGAAGGCGTGCAGCCAAATTAAGGTATTTCTTGAGGCTGTTTTGTTTTGTAATTTTTTTCCTCTTTTATTTGAATTTGAAAGGAATTTTTCCAGTTTATTTTATCTTTAAGCATTGCAAGGAACCATTCAATCTGAACGCAGGAAATTCAAATATTTCCTTGCTAATTTAAGCTCTGCCTTAGATGGTTTTTAATCCACAGGTACTATTAATAGACAGATTAGATACCTGTAACTGTAGTATACTATATACTGTAGAAAGCATTCAAGACGGGTGAATCTAGTGTAAACAGTGTTGTTGGTTGTATCCTCTGTTGATGACAGAGTGGATAGCTGCATGTACTGAGGTATTGAGTTTAGACTATGCAGATAACTGTTTGTATTTATAATTAGGATAGACCATAATTTTATATACAGCTGTATATAATGTAGACAGTGTCAGGGCTTGACACTAACGGGAGCCAACTAGCCACAGACCAGTAGTTTTCGGTTTCTGCAAGCCAGTTTGGCTAGTAGACAAACTGAAATTGTTGTAACATCTAAGGTGTCACTAGTCACTAGCCACGTGGCTAGTAAGTTGAAAAGTTAGTGTCGAGCCTTGAGTGTTGATAGCTGTATCAAATATATGCATTCAGTGGCGAAAGATGTACATGTATCTATTTAAGGCATAGTGTAGAATTGCTGTTGGTTTGCCTGGCAGTTGCCTAGGGGCATGGATGTTAAAACTTAGAATTGATCTATGTGCTCACACAGATAATTTGGTAAATAATATGACTAATATAACATTTCACAACATGGTACATGCATTAAATGAAATGTTGATCTTATTTACAAGTATTGTGATCTTTGTAACCTTATATTCCATGGGTGAATGAGCTCACTCATCATACAGCAATCTTTTCAGCAATTTGTTACTAATAGTTAACTACCAATCACCCTGCGTTATTCATGTACTTTTAAAATGGTGAAAATAACATTATGTAATGTGAGATTAATTTTCTTTGTTACAACATCTGATAAAGAAAGAGTGCCCAACCCTTGGATTAATTTTGCAGGCCTCATAACAGTTGATATCCCCATATGTGTTTGTTCATTTATGAAAGTAAGAGGAAAAGTTTCAAAGAGTTGGAATAAATACAATTTGCATATTATCAATTGATAATAGAAGCTGTTATGTATGTTATATTAAAGATGGCAAGCAGAGAGGAATATTAAGTGGATTAAAGTCCCTAGTACCAGAACTTGAAGCTATTTTTTCAGGTACAAAAATAATTAATAAAAGAATGAGCAACACTTAATTGAATTTGTATGATGCACGATCCTTGCAGTAGAGAGCGCTATCTATGCAATAGCGAAAATCAGACCTGCAAAAAATCAGGCCTGTACGGGATTCGAACCACTGACTTCTGCGATACTAGTGCAGCGCTCTACCAATTGAGCTAACAAGCCAACTGGGAACAGGCCGTTAAGTTGATTCGTAATAAACCCGTGATGATAAATCAGATGCAATGTATATATGAAGTTCATATATTTTGATCTGATTTTTTTTTTTTCAGGTCTGATTTTCGCTATCACCTAAATAGCGCTCTCTACTGCGAGGATCGTGCATCATACGTATTTAATACCACAGTTCAAAATATATGAACTTCATATACACATTGTACTTAATTCAATTATTTAACTATTTCCAATTAATTATGGAATGAATTTAATTTATCTTTCAATTCTGATGCTACTTTTGATGCATATGTAGCTAACAATGATTCTGACAGAAGTCCAAGACTTCTGAACAAAAGTGTTTCATTCAGTTTTATTTTCCCTGGTTGCTTTATGAATGGTACGAATGGTTGGCACTTCTGCCTGAGTTGAAAAAGCCTATGCCACCATCAATTTTTAAGACACTTAAATAATTATTTTCTAAAATTGCCTTATAAACCTTAGCATGATTCTTAATTTTTTATTTTTTAAAATTACCTTATAAACTTTAGCATGTTCTTAATTTTAGTATTTTAATCTTTGTGCTTTTAAATGCTTCTTGTCATTCTACATCTGCAAATAATTTTTATTTTTTTAATCTAATCTAAATGTATTTTTAGTCTGAGGACCCCCCCTGAAAACCACTCAATGTGATGGGAGTATCCTCTTTAAATATTATTTATTATTAATAATATTATTACTATTTATGTGTTGGGTAAATATTTAAGGCCTTATCATTTTTAGCAGCACTACATCTTGTCTGGTTAAAATCCCAAATGAGTTACCCATTTTTAAATGACTGAATACATGTGGCTCTATAACTAGCAATCCAAACACCTGCTTGACATCAAACCAATAGACTGACTGACTTATTAACTTTACTGCTGGATCTTGTGACTGTGCAAAGTCTGACTATACTTGTAAAAACCTGCCCTTCTATCAACAATACCCAACAGACCAGCTATAAACATGTGGTTCAAGGTGAAAAAGTGAAGAACAGTTCCCAAAACATACTGTCGGCCGACAGGACTGTCGCCCAACTGTTGACTGACAGGCAGGCGACAGGCAGCCAATGGTCAGCCGACTGTTGGCCAACTGTTGCTTTACAGTTTTCGTTATGTTTCAGGTCAAAGTTTTGGCCAACTGTCAGCCAACAGTTGGTTACCTTTTGGTAACCCGTTGGTAACATGTCAATAACCTGTCGTGGGTTGTAAAGTGAAATGATCGTAAACATTTCCATATCTATTGCTTCTAAAACTTCTTGCCTTACTTTAACTTGAACGATGTAGGTTACATCCACCTGATGATCAACCACTCAGAAATTACTTTGTTGACCCTTGTACTGGAGCACATAGCAACACCATGGAGGGCTTCTGGAGTACAAAATGGTTCGATCAACTGATTTATATTTACTGTTTTCAACTGGAAAAGTTTGACTTTGTTTTCGGTCAATTTTTGGTCAACTGAAAACTGTCGGCCGACTGTCGGTAATGTGTCGGTAACCTGTCGGCCGACAGTTGGCTGACAGGTTACTGACGGCCGAAAATGGGAACCATTGTTCACTATTATTGTTTAAGGTGACTGACTGACTGACTGACTTATGGCTAACCAACCAATAAACCTTTCTACAGACCAAGTGACCAGTAAACAAACTGTAAGATTAACATATGCACATACAAATTGACTGATTATGACTTAAACACCAGTGATATTTATGTGACATTGTATGACCTGCTGGCTAACTGATGATCAACTAATTGACAAACTATTCAGATGCCAACCATCATTGAAAATCTGAACTCTAGAGTTGTTTGAATTTTAACTACACCAACTGGCTGATTGTTACTGACTGATTAACTGAGTAAGACTGATTTGCTCTCCTACTGACTGACTTTCATACAGTGACTAGAGACTGATGACCTACTGCTTGATACAGAAGCTGTTAACCCTTTAACTTCCATGAGTGACCAAGACAGAATTTCTCCTTACTGTATCAATACATTATCTATCAGACAAGTAATGAGAATAAAGAAAAGTATCAATTAGGGGATAACTAGTTGATCCAGTACCAAATTCTCTGAACTAATGCCATAAAAATTGTATGGCAGACATTAAGGAGAGTTACTATCAAGATCTCAGAAATGAAAGGGTTAGCTTTGTTTTCGAACTGTTCTTCAAAAGATAAAAAATTGATAGGTTCTCATCAGATAGAATTTCAAGATAGCTGTGAACATTTTTGCATAAATTGTTATGTGCTGTGCTGTGTTCTCCTTTCTTTTGTGAGGTATTATATGTATAAAATGAAAACTAGATCTCATATGTAAAGAATTACAGCTTTTACCTCAGATAAATTGACAGACTGGCTGATTATCTTCCTGTCTTAATTATGACTGACTGATATGTTTAAGTGATGTAAGACTTAGGTTAGATTTTAAATTGTACATATATATTGTTTTATTTTTAAATTACTTAAATTTTTAGGTAGTATTTAGTGTCCCCAGTTAGTGGTTGTATAACTGCTATTTTAGATTTGACACATAAATAAAGGTTGTTGTTTTGTTGTTACTAAATGATAAGTCTTATTGCTATCTTTTTTTGCAGCTAAGCAAAATTCTGGTATAAGCTACATGTATGCTCTGTTCTTAGATCACCTCAAATTTGTATCTGTTCAGCACATATGATGCAACTTGTTTGGTTCCATCTGCAAGCAGAGCACATCAGTATTCAAAATGGTATCCATTCCTGAATTGGTTGTTTCAAGATTGAATGAAGGTGGATTCATGCATTTATTCATGCTATACAATTTTCCTTTTTTTTTGTTTTGATCATTTATTTTTCTTTTTATGAAAACTTCCATAGAAGATGGCCGATGGAGTTACTAATTAAGTATTTTATAAGATCAGAATTTTTTTCTTACACTGTTTTGTTCTGAATCTTTTGTGTGTAGAAGATTTATTTACCTCCCCTGCCCTGCTAAAGCTAAATCTCCTCTTCAAGTGTGTTAACAGTAAAGCTATGATCAATTTTTACCTATCAAAAGGGGCAAAGGATGTTTACAAAGCTATTTGAATTAAACCTGCACACAATTGTGTTTTGATATAATTCTAGCTACAAAAGCAAAACACTTTAATTTATATTGTAGAATTAAAATTGTGTTTTTTTAAATTAATTGTTTATAATTTATTTGTTTTCTTTCTAGGAAAGAAAGATGTTCTCCTTCTGGTCTCCGTGAGCTTTTCAGGTTGTGCAGCTAATTTATTGAGATAAGTGTTGAAATATATCATATGCAAATGTTGTATACTTTGAATAAAAAGCCTGAAAATGTTTGTCAAGAGTTAGTCTTAGACAAAAAGAAAGGAAAGAGAAGGCTTCTGTAGCAAATTGGTATGTCTTTCTGCCCTGAATTAATGTGAGCTTTTTAAAAAAGATAAGTGACTAAAAGCTGACCTGCTAAAGATTCAGT